TGCAGCCTGAAAAATTTCTGTTATGTCTGTTAATAACTATAGATATCTAACATTACATAGTGATCAACAATGAGGCAGCATTAATAGTTGCTACATGTACTTTGCATTATGTTGAGGATTTACTCATGTTTAGCTTCTCCACTCACAGAACAGAAAGAAACAAAATAAAAAATACTGTATTTGGTGGGTCATATTAGAAAAAATCTAAATTTATGAGTATAGTTTTAGGTCATTTAAAAACTAGGATGATAATTGTTTGAACTTTTTGGTGATAGTTTACTTACGTTTCTGTAGGTTTCAGCAACTTTTTTACCATATTTCTAATTAAAAAAAATTTTTTTAAAGGAAAATGCAAGAAAGCTGTGATGTTTGAGGATGAAAAAAGGATGTTTGAGCTTATCTCAGATTTAACCATACTCTTAAGAACTGACCTGCTGATAATAGGTTGTCTAGATCCAAGCCAGCTAGCACAACTATTGACAGAAAAATATTTTAACATCTAATATTTTAAATACGATGAAATTTAAGAAGTCTTGAAACAACCACCTAAAATTTAGCATATAGCATATACAAGAAGTCAGTCATGGCCAATGATTGATGTTAGGAAAACTGTACCACGTTCAACCTTTTTAATGTAAAATTTGCTTGTATTTGTTTAATAAAGAAAAACTTTTTATAAAAAAAGAAGTCAGTCATGGCTAAGCAAAAACAAAATCATGAAAGAAATGGCTGATAAATACAAGAATTTACATATTTCCCTTTAAATTGTTTAACTTTTTAGGATCATTTTTTTCACTTCAATTTTTTAGAGTTTTGACTGTTAATATAGTCAAAATTAGTCTGAATATAAAAATCAAATTAGTTTATAATAGTTTAGCCCTTTCTTGTTTCATATAAAATTATGTTAATAACTGTTTCCTATTTAATTCCTACAACAGTAACTATACCAGTCTAATAGTTATGGCTGTAAACCCATTAACAACTACCCAAAAGTGCTTAAGTATCATGTGAGCACAGCAATTGCTCAAACCTAAAAAAAATACGTTGCTGCTTTAGGGAATTTAGTTATGCTTTATTAAAAACAGAAGAAAGCAAATTAAGCAATCCTATCTCTAATCTGTATGAACTTCTACTCTATAGATATAATAGCAAGATAAATGGCATTCTTTATTCTTGCTGGCCATATAAATACTAGCAAACAAATACTAGTTTTTAAAGATAGAAAAATTATTTAAACATTTTATTTTATTATCTACTATGCAATAATTGTTACAAAACGAATTTAAATACTGCTAATATAATGTAAAATATGAAAATAACTCAGTAATATATGTTCTACTCTCTGAGGACTCTAACATAATATATAAAGTGATGGTGAATACATTTTTCACATACATCTGGTATTCTGGTATCATTTAAGAAAGAATGAGAACAAATGACATATACATTATTTAGTCATAATTCATGGCCTGCAGCAATACTGCAATTCTGGTAAAAAGTTCTCAATAGTCTATATTACATTCCCCTTCTTTCCTAGTGTTTTTCCATAGGTGCAGGGCCCACTTTTTGTGGTTCAACTGAATGTTACTTAGTTTTCTCCCTAGAAAAATATTTGCACAGATGATATACCATAAATCTACAGAAGGCTGCTTCAGATTTTTTAAAGCACACAACAAATAACATTTATTTTGTCTGTATGTTTCGAGAATCTTCACTGACTTTAAATGGCAATATCGGTAGTAGAACACATGTAATTGATGAAGTAACATATTAGCAAAGAACAGAATAATGATTATGATTCTGATACTGAAAGTTTTAAAAATTTACAACTGAAGCTTCAAAAATGGAATTAATATTAATCAATTTATGTTAATTTGGTTTTAACAGATTAATTGTAGAAACTGAATGTGTTGTTATGAAAACGCCGTAAATAGCACATTTAGTAAAGCACAATAAAGCATATTTAAAATATACTACTATACTATTAATATTATAGGAAATATTACAAGTCGCTAACAATATATTTCAACCAAATATACTCTTTTAAATTATATTAAGATAATCAAATGCTATACTTGAATACTTCATTTTATTCAAAAGTTTTACTCAGTATGGAGATAAGTGAATGCCACGAGGTATTGCCTATGACTATTGAAAGTTAAGGCAAGATCATTGGTACTTTTCCATCTACTATATGTATCACTGTATCAGAATCAAGATGTATGTTATGGAAATGATTGCTGTAGAATTCTAGTGACCTGCATCTATATATCAAGAGAATAAGTATTAGACTTTGGAATATTTAATGTTATATTGAGATAAAGAAAGCTTTAGATCTGCCCTATTTGATTAATTTTTTTAGAGCTTGTACTTTCAATCAGATGTTCCACATTCATAGTATCCTTACTATTAATTGTTAACTGTCTATAACAGTTGTTAAATCCTTCAGTAAAGTAAAATTGTTATAGTTCAGTTATATTGTTCTGAGAGAAATTTTATGTCTCTGTGTGTATGTATGGAGAATATGGATTATATTTGATAATCTGATAAATTACCAAATTCCTCATAGGATACAATATATTTCTGGCTGCCTCAAAAGTCTAACTTGGTCCTCCTACGTAAGAAAGCTAAATCATGGCAACTAGTCCAAAGTTTATTAAACTGAACAAATTATAAAGTTTATTAAATTTAATAAACTTTGGTCTAGTTGCCATGATTTGACCTTTTTACATGCTTTTGGCCTGGATGATTGATTTTACATTTACATATTTTTCCTGCTATATTTATAATTGAAAGAGTTATTGTTTAAACAGCTATGATTATATTTAGTTCAGATGCTTCACACATAGTTGTTTCATTCTGCCTGCTAATTGCAATCCACTGGCTAATTTAGATATCAAAAATATAGCTAGGTACCAGTCAAAATATTATGTAACATTGTTTAAGCTTACCAAATTTTTTCAGAATTCTAACAAAATCCTAAAATAAGACAATAAAGGGAATGTGAAAAAGTCCAAAAACAAGATCAAATGTCTGTAATTATATCAATCTAAGATGGAAGCTGTGGATGAAGCATATTAGCAGTCAGAAACAAATTAATGGTTGCTATTCTTTGCATAAAACACAGTGTAGGTCAGCTTTACAGTGTTAGGTATTTGGTGCTGTCTGAGGTTGCATTTTTCTTGCAGATGCTTCATTACCTCATTCACTCCCAAGAATCCATCCAAATAGAGTTTATTGACTCTCAAGCTACCCTTTTTATGGGGGAAAGAGACACCTAACACAAAAGCATCTGACACTTTTTTTTAAAAGTATCTGCTTCAATCCCCTATATCAGGACTGTCAAACTCTTGGCCTGAGGGCTGGATGTGTCATGTGCCGATCATGCCCATGCCTGGTTTAGCAAATGGGGAAAAAAGTTCCAATACGTCACCAGATGCCACCGTGACAATGTGAGTTTGACATCCCTTTCCTATATGGTATATGTTGCTTGCTGAACAGTCTTGGAGAATTCAACAATTGTCACTTTTTTGATTGAATCTTAAAAAAAGCTTTTGTTCAACTATGCATTTCCTTTATGGACCAGTAGTTATGCTTAGGAGTTTTTTTTCAACATTTAAAAGAAATTAATAACTTTTAAGTATAACACAGTTACAAATACTAACACTACAATGGCTTTCTATAAAAACTTTTAAATATACTTCTCAGTTTTTAACAAAGAAATTCCCAGATTCAAAGTAGAAGTATTATCATATTGTATACTTTTATATTTCTCATTTTAGCAGGTGACTACATGTTTGTTTTCCCCTTAAGTGAAAAACATGGCCTTGAATAGCCTTATCTGGATCCAGGGGCAGTGCTGCAGCCCAGTTGCACTGCTTGATTTTTTTTAAATTTTCCATAATTTCCTAGTATATTTGGTTTGAGTACTATGTGAAATTTAAATAATGGTTAGATTCAGCTGCATCTTTGACTGCAGAGAATTCTGGATCAAGGGAAGAAATGCTTCAGGGAGTCTAAAGGCTAACAGTAATATCAGCTGCCCAATGATATCAGAGAATGATGTCAAATGTATCTCATCTAATAATAATAATAATCAGAGCATTAAGAATGCAAGCCCAAAAGTAGAAAAGCAATTAGGTAAAAATTGCTATAGTAGATTTATCTTTTTAAGTGCTGAAATCTAAAATAGCTCTAAAGTTAGTTTGAACCAAGAAAGAAATTTGGCCTTTATGACAGACCAAGCCCAATGAATAGGCAGGATCAAAATAAAGAATTGGTAATTATCCTTCTGGCCTTTAGGAAGGACTTGAAGATTTAGCTGTGCCATTGTTCCTGGAGGTCTGCAGTAGTGGTTAGCATTGGCAATGGCAGTATTAAATGGATATTCAATTTATATTTACCAGCTATGATTTATATTTTATGGAATTTATAATAATGGTTTCAGAATAGCTGTATGCGGTTTTGTTTATTTTTTTACTGTTTGTTTTAATTGTTGAGTCAGACTTATTGTGAGTCACACTTGTAAGCTGATAAATAAAAACGGTTTACATTTCATTAATTTAAAATGAATTGTCATTAATAGTATTAAAAATCTGAGCAGTAATTCCAACTTGCTGACAACTTTTAGACTAGAGGATTGTATGGGTGTGGTTGTGGCTCTGAAGTCCCTTTATTGAGTCTTGTATGCTAATTGAAGCTACAACTAATAGGTTGCAAACAAATCCATCCAAAAGAGATTTATTCTGATAGTTTTCTGAATTCACTGGAACTTGTCATCTGTTATATTTGTTTAAATCTGTAGTCTTGGAATGACAAGAGTGGCTTAAGCTTCCCACAAACCAAATCCTTCAAAATAAACTAGTTATCTATTATGCTGAAAATGCAATGTCTGCCTTCACCTGTATTGCTTATATTCTGATAATATCCTTAATGCCTGAGATATTTCAGTCTAAAACCTATACAGTATTAAATACAGACATTTAAAGAGACAAGCATTATGGTAATATTTTCATTGTTACATGACTGTAATTCTTTCTGGTGAGGGATATGGATCAGATCCATTTCCATCTTGTATAAATTGTCTTTTTTCCCATCCTTTTCTGATCTTTCTCAGTTTCCTATTTATACATGGTAGAAGCAAAATTATCTTACCCAGAATTACCACACAAGGCAAGACAAGTGCAAGAACAAAATTTGGTGGTGTGTAGAATCTGTAGCATTCTTCTTCAAAGGCTCTTTTCCATCCATAAATTAATACATGGAAAGTACTTATGAGAAGAGCGACGTATCCAAGTGTAGACTTTGAGGTTTGAAGATGAGAAACAAATACAAATTAAAATGCTGACATGATTTGCACATATAGCTAGCTATTAAAAGTTATTTATAAAAACTTAAACTATTATAAACATAGATATAAATGGTTAGTTTCTTACATATTTTAGTATGCAAACAGGATGAATAAAAATTAATTCGGATCATAGCTAAAGGACTTGTGAACATACAATAAAAACTAGAGTTCAGTATTCTGAAAATTGGTATAATTTTTAGTGTGATTATCCCAATTAACTTTTGCAATTAACAGAAAGACAGTGAAAAATGAATGGAAACTCCTTAAATATTCAACTGCTCATTGGAAAGGCCTTTCAATTTTTACTATTAGTACAGAACATAAAATATGCTCCACTGTTAGAAAGCAGAACCAGAAACAGAGTTTACTTATTTGAATAATAGTTATGAACATAGTTTTTAAAAAAAGACCACCCAAAAAACAAACACACAAATAAATAATAAATTAATTAGTGGATATTTTCCATGTATAATTCTTATGTATTCCTAAAATGTATATTGGGCTATTAATTGGACTATAATTTGTTGTTATCAGGACACTGTAAAGGAATTGTGAATATTTTAAAATGATACAAATGATATAAGGGGACAAGGTTAAAATCTCTGATATTTACAAACAATATTATAAGGGTGGAGCTTGCATCACAATAATCTTGTATTTCCTATTTTCCCTACTCTGAACCCTCACGTGCAGATACTACTGTAAGGCATATGGATTTTTTTTGCTTGAGTGCATTGCAGCTTTTATCAGAACCTTCCTTTTTTTAGTGAGCTTCACTAAGAGGTGACTGACTTAAGCCCTTGCAACTTTTGAGAGATTCATCTGATGTCTTAAAATATACCCACTTAGTCTCAAATATACAGAAGATTGAAGTTTTTCCTCTCTCATATATCATGGAGGTCTTTGGGAGCTGTGAAAGAATAGCAATAGCACTTAGACTTATATACTGCTTCAGTGCTTTACAGCCCTCTCTAAAGGGTTTACATATTCAGTATATTGCCCCCAACAATCTGGATCCTCATATTATTGACCTCAGAAGGATGGAAGGCTGAGTCAACCTTGAGCCTGGTGAGATTCAAACTGCCAAATTGCAGGCAGCTGACAGTCAGCAGAAGTAGCCTGCGGTACTGCATTCTAACCACTATTCCAACAATAACGAGTTGTACTTTTTGAAGTCCTAGAGTTGTTTCCTGTTCTCATTCTCATTCAGTGATAGAACTGTGTAGAAATAAATACAGTACGCTTCATATCAATTTATTTTTGAGTAACTGTTAGGAATGTAAGTTATCTAACAACTATTTGGGTTGGAAATATATAAACCAGGATAGACATTTTAATACTGTATCTTTAAGAAAATGCAAAACTGCAATTGGGTGTGGATCCGCAAATGGCCATAAGATGGAGCCAGAAACCTGGGTTGTTTAGTCCGAGAAGTCTCAGTGAAGTGAGTGAGTCTCTGTTTCCTTCTGTTGGAAAGAGTTGCCATTCCTCCATTTTTCCCTATTGACTGTTATTCTTGGATTTGATGTAAGTCTGTTACTGAACTGTTTTTTTGATACTGGACTTTGATATTGGAATTATCCCTGGACTGAACACTGACTGCTTTAACTGTGAATGACTTGGACTGTATGTGGACTTTGCTTAAACATTTACTGGAAGTAAAAACCTACATTAACTGTACAGTGTATCTGTGTGCTGTGTGTGTATTATTCAAACACTCTTCTCACTACATCTCCCTGTATGCGCTCATTCTCCTAATGGGGAATTACCTCAACAGTAACCATTTTTTAGGATACCATTGCTTGTGTGTCACTAGTTTGAAAAATATATTACAGATCACACAAGCTTGAACCTTTCAATATTGAATTGCTATTAAAGTCTTTTACTAGATTAGATTAATTACATTTAGTATTTCAGTTTAGTACACACCTGAATAAAGCTGAATTCCCTCCAGTTTAATGATCTGTTTACTGATGGAATGGAAGTCACAGCCAACAAAGAAAGCAGCCCAAGGCTCATTATTCCAAAAGAGACGTACATTTCAATTCGCCATACTTCTTCCTCATTCCAGGAATTTTCAATATTTTCATGGACCTGGAGAAAGAGATTATGGAATCTTTAACAATTGTAACACATTTATGGAAACTTAGTTAAAACTAACTGGAAGACCTGATGGGTTTTAAAGTGTGCCCGGTGAACTAATATGAATGGGAGCAAAGAGGGAAATAAGAGGGTGAACATTATTGAAGCTAAACCAATTTTTAAAAAAGAAATAAGTAATACTTTATATATTATTATTTATCACTGCATAATTATGTGACTTTATACATAGTAACATATTTAAAAACCATAATTGAATATTTCTTTTATGAAGGAAGGAATGTTTAGGCAATGATCAACATAAATTACTAATCATACATACAGCAATATCAATGTTCTGAATTACTTGACCCCAAAAAGATATTTTCCTTACCTGTTGATAAGCTGTATTTAAAAATAGATATCGTTCTGACCTCCTCATAGGCAAGCAAAGGCTGTAAACAACATGAACTGTTGCAAAGAAAAAACTAAGTAATCCAAGCTGCTTTCTACATTGCAACCAGTTCTCTAACCAGGATGGAAACAATTTGTATTTAGTACCATAATAAAGTTGATAAGCAGCTGCCAGGAGCCCTGATAAATATACTAGAGATAATAAAGTAATTGCAACAACTGGCAATGTCTTGTTCACAATCTCAATGGGAATCTTATAAAAATCACTCTGATGGTTTCTCACATAAGGATGTATTACATCTCTAATAAAGGAATATATAAAAAAGAAGGTGGCTAGGCCAACAGCCACTATCACTGGTCCTTTCCAGAGTGTGAACAACTGAAGAGGTAAATTTTCAATTTCCCTTGCAGATGATAAAGTGCCCAAATCAATAGGAATAAAACTGAGCTGACGAGCAAGTTCAATAACCTGATGTCGAGCTTGAATGCTGTTACTGCATATGTAAACCTAAAACGAACAAACAAATAATCACTACATGGACTAAATTGTCAAACTAGAGCATGTATTTCCAAGTATGAGATTTCCTGTAAATATTTTTAACTTAGCTTTGCAGACATCCATCTCACAATTTAAAAAGGCATCTGTGATTATTTAATCTATATTTTATTTTTATCTTTATTTCATGTTATATTTATCAAGGGTGAAAAATGCATTACCCAAAGCCATTTACAATTCCTCCAAATCTTAGACACATCCTATAGAGCTCCATCAAATATTGATACTAAGGGCAAGTTATTAAATACATGGGATGTGATCAGTTTACTGTGAATATTTAAAATAATTGAAAAAAAAAAGTATCATTCTGTGTCTTTCTTCTATACAACTATGAAAACAAATCCACAAATGCTACTTTAATGAATGAAATCATTACAACCACACAACTTTAATCTTGCTCTTAAAACAGATACATCTTTTTTCAGACTGCTACTGAAGCACATTAAAAAAAAACCCTTACATAACATGATAATGTATATGTGCTGCATTCATGCATGATCTAAAACATTTCTTTTAAATTATTTTCAAACAACTCTAGTTACATTAATTATACTTACTTTAGTTTTATTTAAATTATTTTCAAACAACTCTAGTTACATTAATTATACTTACTTTAGTTTTATTTAAATTGAAGGCTTGTCCAACTGTTTTTTTGCTCTGGACTTATCCACTTTTGATTGTGGATAGAAGAGCAATTAAATATCAATGATATTTAAATGAGGCTCTCAATCTGAAACTCTCCTCTGTCCTCATGATAAAATGGAATGTTGAAGCTGCTATACCATAAACATGAGAAATAATCTCACTTCATTTTTAGGTAGTCTCATATGAAAAATTACAGTATTTTGTAGAGGAAGCTTCAAGGGGTTTCTCATGTATACTTTCACTGTTTTAAAGGCTGAAGTGCATAACTTACCTGTCTGCTTGCATCTTTTGGTCCTACTTGTAATGCCCATGCTGAAATAACATTGAATCCTTTAACAACAAAGGAATCTGGAAAAAGGGATGCCAGGTATTCCGCATTAGATTCTGGATACTGGTTAATTTTCATGTTGTTGCTGACATCTACAAGGATTTTACCAACAAGTAGAGGCTTAAGGTCCCACAAAGCTGCATAATGTTCTCTGCGTATAGCGATAAAAATAATGTCTGCTTTTGCAATAGCATCTTCATGGTGAGTGACATCAACAACATGGGGAAAGAATTCCGCCACAAATTTAGGGTTTCTGCTTCCTATTACTACATGAAACCCACACCTGATAAGCCTAGTTGTCAAGGATTTAGCAAAGTCCCCACTTCCAATTATGCCAACTGTAAGCTTATTGGTGCCTTTGATGTAATTTCTGCCATTTGGTAAGAAAGTTTCATTTAAGACCTTAGGACTTCCCATCGTAGAAATTGATTCCATATCTGGGCACAGAAGTTATAAGGATATTTTCTAAAAGAAAACAGAAACATATATTTAATTTTTCACTGATATATATTGAAACAAATTTCCTATACCAACACACACAAAATTTAGAATGAGATGTAACACACATGTCTGCAGCATTGAAGTCAGGGGTGAGATGCTACCGGTTCTGCCCGGCTCTATAGAACTGGTAGCTCTGAAGAGCAGCAGACACCGAACCGGTTCTGTGTTTGTTACTGTTTGCCCACCCACCTGCCCGGGCTCTTACCTGTCCTTTATTTCCTGTTTTTCAAATCTCAGCTGCTTTTGCAACAAAGCTGAGAAAAAGCAGGAAAAAAGTGGCTTTTCAAACACTGCACACCTTTACGCAGCATTTTTCAGCTGTCCAGGTGTTTTTTTTAAAGGTTTCTTACACGTGTGCACAGCGTACATCAGGCGTGCATGCGTGCGAAGTGCAAAATGTAATCATCAAGCCTGTAGTAACACCAGTTGAATCCCACCTGATTGAAGTCCTAATTTTGCTCCTGCAAGCTGTAAAGGAAATCTCTCTAACCCTTGTAAAAATAGGCAGGGAAAAAATAGGCTTTGATTCTAGCCCTCCATATACCCAGAGTAAAACACTAGAGAAAAAAGAATTCAACAAATGTCAACCCTAGTTTATGGAAAACAAAAATAACATCAGAGAGCATTTGTGGCACAATTTTAGAATTAAAATTAAATTTTCTTGAGAAATCTCGGATTTCTCAGGAATATATTTGTCTGTCAAAGTAGGCCTCACCTTGACAAATATGCTATATAAAGAATTTAGTTGCTCTCTCTCTATTTCATTTTAAAGTTAAGTTTTAAGCGAAATAAAAATGGTAACTGAAAAAACTATACTATTGCAAAATATGGTTACTGCTGCTATTGTAATAGCCAACTAGGACTTTCTATAGATAATTACATTTTATATTTTATATTGATACTTCTGGTGCTATCTAGTAATGCAGTAAACGTTTAGTCCCAATTTTTTAATTAGTTTATCAAAATTCAAAGAAAACAGTGAGGAATTAGGGAAGGAAAAATGGAAGGGGAAAAAGTGTAGCATAAAAGGGAAAAAAGAAAGAAAAAAGTTAAGTTCTGACTTTTTAGCGCAGTAGAATAAGATGATAACATACAGCCTCAACTTTTTACTTTTACATAAAAGTAAATATATCTATATATTTCTGTAACAACAAATACAATAACGTTTTGAACAAACATGGGTAAACTTATAGACAATGACTCCCATGGATTGAAATTTGACATTTTGTAAAAAAAATAAATCTCTTTATACCATAATAGAAAATGTCAAAAAAATTTCCTGTGTTGTTTGGGCTATCAGATCCTGTTCAAGTTGGGCTATTTTTCAAGTCAGGTACATCTCTGGATATTACCTCAATTTTCCCAATAAAGATAGTATATAAGAAACTCGGTTTTGAAGGCATTAAGGAATCTGGTAAAAAAAATATTTCTGAAACAACGATCCAATGGGATACAGATTGTCTAGCATGTTTGTCTATATGTATAAAATTTTTACTAAGAATTTTGATATTAGTAAAATATATCTAAACTAAACAAAGAAAGAAAAGAGAATAGAAAGTAAAAAAGCACAAGTAAATTTATTTAGTCTATGGCAAGTATAAGGAAAAAAGAAAAATAGAGAACAAAAAATAAGAATAAAGAAATACATAAATAAGTAAATTACAATGCTCATCACAAGTATAAACAAATTTAGTAACTCTTCACTCCCTTTAAGATTGCGAACATTTTCAATATGACACAGGAACTAAATTTGATAGATCAATGGAGCAGAATAAATTTGGTGAAAAAAGAATTCACGTTCTACTCTAACCCACACAAATCGTGGTCTAGATTAGATATGGTGTGGATGAACACAGAACTAGGAAACCAACTAGATTTGATAGAGATTATGACAACTGTATGGGCTCATCATAACCCATTAAAATAGCTTGGAAAGGAAGGAAAAGGAAGAATAGAAGATGGATACTTAATTCCGAAATGTTAAAGGAGAAAGATTTTGTAGAGAAAATTAAGAAAGAAATGGAACTTTTTAAAAAGGAAAATACAGTGGAGCAAACATCATTACAGAATTTATGGGATACAGCAAAGGCAGTATTGAGGAGGCTGGTAACAGCATATACAGCGAAAAGGAATAAGGAAAGATGGCAAAATCAGAATAAATTACAGGAGGAGATTAAAGACCTAGAAAGTAGACTACCCCCCCCCAAAAAAAAAACAACCCCACACAAGATGAAAAATTGAGGAGAGAAATGATTCTTACTAGGCATAAATTGAACATTATAAATCAGGAAGAGAGAATTAAAGAGGTGAAAAGGGCAAAACAGAATTTTTTTGAACATGCAAATAAACCAGGGAGGTGGCTAGCCCATAAATTAAGATTAGAAAGAGAAAGAAGGTTGATATAAGATTGCAAACATTTATCTCTTCATCTAATATCCCATCTCTTATCTATAATCTTATCTTATCTTTTTTGTCCTGAGGTGAGCAGAAAGTCCCAAAAAGATTGCCTGAAATAACAATATATCTTGCTTGCTAGAAGTCATGGTGGCACAGTGGCTAGAATGCAGTACTGCAGACTAACTCTGCCCAAAGCCAGGAGTTTGATCCTGACGAGCTCAATATTGACTTGGCCTTTTATCCCGGTAAAATGAGGATCCAAATTGTTGGGGGCAATAACTCTGTAAAAAGCTCAGAGTGTGCTGTAAAGCACTATGGGGGGGTGTATATGTCTAAATACTATTGCTATTGTTTTAACCTTTGCAAACAATGCAAATGGAGTAATCAGAGCCACATGCAGTTCAACAAAAGAGTAGGATGCATCCCAAGTCCAATTATTTTACAAAAAAATAAATAAAAGAAGTCTGGAAGAGCATGGATGAACAGAAGTTGAGAAAAGGTAATTTCTTTTTACATTATCTTTTCTCAATTCTTCTGCATCCACTCTTCCAAATTCCTTTATTTTTAAAACAATAAACTATATTTTGTTATTAATAGGTGAATATAATACTGATAACTTACTGAGAAAACAGAAAACCTCCATTTGTCCCCTCTTCCCAAAAATGTATGTATAAGCTTCTTAGTCCAATTTGAGACTAAAATCAAATTGTCAGTATTGAAACTCTTATTGAGTATTGTACCACCATCTACTGGTGAGCAAATAAATTAAATCTATTTTGTTTTTGATTTTGCTAAAGAGATATACAGAGTTTGTATTTATAAAGTAGGAGAATCTGAAATAATATTTAAGATCCTATTCCTGTCTGTTTTTTGAATGAAGCTTGCAACATCCCATTTAATGACATAGGTGACCTGATTGGAATTATAGCAATAGCACGTAGACTTATATACTGCTTTATAGTGCTTTACAACCCTCTCAAAGCAGTTTACAGAGTCAGAATATTGCTGACCCTGCAGTCATGTGACCATGATTTATGACATTGCAAGAAACTGGCATTTATTTTCAATTTTTGCCAAAAAGCATTCATAGCAAACAATGAGTTCGCTTAATAACTGCTGTGTTTGCTTAACCGCCTTTGCAAAAAAGTTTATAAAATCAGGCATGGCCACATGACCCACTTAATGACCATCATGACTTATGACCATAATTGCAGGCTAAGTTATGGTTGTAAGCTGAAGAATACCTGCTTTTGAATATGAACTTAATTTCTGTAATTTCTGTAAATCAATTGCCTGTAAGTATACTATGGGTAAGCAATTCCAATAAAATATACTTTTAGTATTTAAGTGTAACATATGGCAATAAAATATATTTTTAGTATTTCTGTTTACATATAAAACTAGTGGTAATCATTCAATTGAAGCATTGCTAATAAAATTTAATATTTAAGTATAACATATGGCAATAAATAATGTCTTCTTTGTTCCTGTAGAGGTGAGAATGTCTTTTATGCTGAAATATTTGTTAAATGCAATTGCTATAATACTTATATGACATTTCTACAACAGTAATAAAAGCAGTTTATTACTTCTCAAAATTTGTAGTACAAGTCTTTGATTATTCAAACTGTTAAGTTTGAACAATGAGAGGCTGAACCAGAGCATGAGTGCAACAGTACTTTATTTTA